TGCCCTGTGGTCACTGAAAAAGGAGCATGGTCTGTTCCTACATCTCACGAGTGAGCTACAAGCTTGCTTGAAACCCCTTGGAGAAATATGTCGCTACTGGGTATAATCTGAACCTAGCAGATTACAAGATGTAGGCAGCTGGGTAATTAGCTGACAAAAGTAGAGGGAACAACTCTGCTTTTCAAAGCTATTACTTAGCGCTGACTACTTTCCCAGCCACAAATACAGCTGTGCATTCACCTGCTTTGTCCCCTTTTCTTTGTTACAGAGCGCACATCACACAACAGTGTTTCTTAACCTGTGGGTCATGACCCAGAAGTGGGTCGCAAGAATATAGAAAAGGTTGCAAACAAACTTTAAAAATGGATTCTCCTTTAAAGGAGAACAATGCGAGAAACTGTGGCTTTTCCCTTGCAGGCTGGCAGAGATTCAACCTTCAAGGGGCTTTTTGGAGCTGCTTGGGTGCCCCCCAGCACTGCTCCATCCCTGCCCCACACACTGGGGGCCTAAAGGCAGGAGGCAGCGGGTCAGGAGTGAGGGGCACTGGGTTGGGATTGGCCATTGATGTTTACAAATGGGTCCTGGTACAAAAAGGTTGAGAATTACTTCTCTATAAAATGAGAGTCAGGATGCAATACCAGGGGTTCAACCTACAAAATAAATTACAGTCAGAACCACTGCCACTGCCTTCATTATTCTCATCACTACAGGCACTGAGGTGCAACATTAGAAATTGCAAAAGACCCTTCTCTAGGGACTTTACCCTGTGGCCCTCTGGCCAACAGAGATATGATGCTAGAGAGTGCACTCTCTATATGCGCCTTGACAGCCTCTAACTCAACTGGACTCTTCCTGGAAAGCTCATTTGCATCTAATTAAGCAACTCTATTTTGTTATCTTAATCAAAGGCTACTCCTCTAAATTTACTGTGAAGGTGTCAGTCAAGTGTCCCATAATGAACCTAGCAAGGGTGGACGTTTTGGCAGTAGGAGCTGAATATCTATTCATTTTTCTCTAATAAGGTGTGACCCGTCACCAGCTTGCAATTAACCACAATGGGCAATATTTATATTTTGCAAATCTTGTTATGCCTCCATGGTTATCTACAAGGGAGGATTCCAAGTCAGTAATGTGTATGGCTGAACTTCAGTTAATTGTTTAAGTCCGTGATAAGGTCAGAATTTATTTATGCATGAATGCATGAATGAATGTTCATTAATGCAGTTCTGATTTAGATGACACTTAAATGAAACTAAAATGACATTTCAGGAAAAAAAAAAGCCAAAGTTCTGTATTTAAATAATATCTGACTTTCATTAAAAATAAGTAATATCAGTATACGCACAGAATTAAGCAATTTCATCCCTCAAGATATTTGTACAGGAACTGATCTAGGAAAGCAAACTTCCTTAGGAAAGGGCTTAAGCATAAGCTTAACTTAACTACTCTGCTTAAATCCCATTTAAATCATCTTTAAACATGTACTTAATGCTATACCTACTCATAAAAAATTGATGTATGCGCTTTAGGGCCATATGGGTCCAATCCAACGATTATTTAAGCGAACGTGACAATTCTGGTGAGGAAGGAATAACGAACACAAATAACAGCTGAAGAATCAAACCTTAATTTGCTTAATTTGGTACTATGCAGTGGCTCCCCAAATTACAAGGGCAAATTAGCATATTTTGGCCTTTCATTTTAATTGGCATCTTCAGCACACATATTCAGCTGCTAAGCTACATGGTTCTTTGATTAAGGCAATATGCACAAAGTGGCTGGATTTTGTTCAGTGAAGTTGTCATAGTGAAGCCACACATTTTTGTCTGGAATGCAGAGATGTTTTTGTGGCATAATTACAGCAGGTCGTGCCTAGTATCCCATTCTCCTATTTGAGAGAAGTGCCGCACAACCAGAGGACAGTGTAAATTCCATCCCAGTCTAGTAATTCTTTTAAAAATACATTTCAGAAGGTTTCTTGAAATCATCAAGGTCAGGGTCTCATGACTCCTTAGCTAACTTGTCCTATGGATTGAAATCAATTAACAATTAGGTATCTGACTTGCTCAGGAAACTTTGACAATTCCACTAGGCCCTGTTCTTCTTCATGATATGCCTACATACTCCTGGGCCCTAAAACTGTCTTAGATCCTCATCGGTACATTGAGATTAATAAGATTTCCTTTCCCGCCACATGAGGTATACCGTGTCCATCTGGGTTTTGAGCTCTCCGGGCAGACGCTGGATCTCATTCTTGGTCCATGCACCAAATGGCACAATGGAGTCCTAAACAGGGCCTCTAAGCATTATCGTAAGTGCAACTGAGTAATACAAATGACAACAGCATCACCAGCATTCACAAAATAACCTGTGCAGCCCACTCAGATAACCCCACACTGGGTCCTTTTGAAGGAAACATTCACAAACACATGACCTGGCATGTACTGATATTATACAGGTGTGGAGGAACTAAGGGCTCCTATACACATGCTCAAGGGGGGAGGGGGGAGTCTGTTTTAATTGGAACATTTCCCTGACAGCTGCTCTAATTAAAACAGCTTGCCGTCATGTGTATTAAGTCCCCGTGTTTTAAAATGGCCACAGGGATGCTTTAACTAAAGCTCATTCGACGAGCTTTAGTTAAAGCCTCCCATCAAGCATTTTACAATGCAGCGGGGGGGAGGTTTAAAACACATGCCCGTGAAGTGATGCTGGGACATTCTAATTAGATTTGAATGTGGAGCAGACTTGATTAATCACAGCTTGCTTGGACATATTCTAATCAGAATGTGAACCAGCGTACCTATAGGTAGCCTAAGTGTCTGGATACATACTCTTAGGACACTAGAGACCTACAGAGGGCCAGGTAGGTGACCAGGGAGTAGCTAACTGACAAAGTTAGAGGCATATCCTAGAAGAGTGGTTCTCAGCCTTTTTAGGCTCAGCCCCCTTCCATAACTCTTGTGAACTGAATGGGACTCCATTTCAATAACAACTTATTTTATTGTAGCACTTAACTCCTGGGACAGGGGCATGGAGGGCATGGGGAGAGTGTGCACTTAGCTCCTCACACAGCAATGGGACACGGATGGCCACAAGTTTACCTCCTTGCACTGGACCTGGGCAGACCAGCCTGTGCTTAGCTCCTCACACAGGGTTCGGGGAGTGCGGAAGAAGTGAGCACTAAACTCCTCACACAGGGGCAGGCAGGGACAAGTGTGTGCTTACCTCCTTTCACTGGAGCCATGCAGAGATGAGCTTGTGCTTACCTTCTTGCACAGGAGCCAGGAAGAGAAGAGCAAGCGCTTATCTCCTTGTGTGCCATGGCACGCTCCAAAGAGTCTCACGGCACCTCAGGGTGCTACAGCAGCCCTGTTGAGAACCACTGTCCTGGAAGCCTGAGACCCAGCTTGCAGCAAAATTCCCACGGGGCCCAACCCAGTGCCCAGAGGCCATGTCCAGATGAACCAGGGGCATGTGGTTTGTTGAGCCACAAACCTTATACGGGGAACATTAAAATGTGTGGGGCGATACAAATTTGCAGCGTGGTGGCAAAATTTGCTACTGGGATTTCCTGGTATCTAAAAAACCCTGGAAACAAAAGTGGCACAAAGCATGTAAAATAAGTGTGGGCTGGCACAAACAGAGGCCGGGCTGTTCAGAGCAATGGTCTGGCTGCTGGCCAGGCCTCTGCACTGCCTGAGTTGTGCCACTGCTGCCCCAGCGTGCCACCAGGTAAGACTCCTGAGGCCAGCACAGGTGCTGGCCCCAGCTTCCAGCTCTCCCTGGCTGAAGGGCCCAGAGGAGCTGGGACAAGGCAGTTTGCCCATTGCTAGACAGTTTGTCCCAAAATGAAGTGTATGTGCAGGGGCATGTTCTGAGGCAATTTGTGCCACTCCAAGTGCTCCACACCCCTGCTCATCTGGACATGGCCACAGAAATCAATGGAAGTCCTTCCAATCATTTCAAGTGGGATTGGATCAGGTCCCTAACTTTTACTTGCAGTTTGCTTGCATCAGGAGGTCTTTTTTATTATTTTATTTTATGGTTTAATTTAATTGAGCTTTGGAAACAGAAGGAAGGAAGTTTATGAAGTGAAAAATAGTCTTCAGTGATGAAAAGACTTTTTTGCCTAAAGCTTGGTTTTTGTGAAACTTATTGGCATATGAATAGATAGAATGTTTTGACTACAAAATCATAGTCATGTACAAGATGTGCCATGCAGTCTGACTGCCTTCTTTTCCAGGAAAGTATTCCATTCGAACCATCCACTGACATTTCTTGTGAGTGTTGCACTTATTTTTCTACACTGCTAATCAAACCAACGAGCCAATTCTGCAAGCACGAGCATGCTTAATTTAACCACACAAAGTTGAAAGACTTCCATTGACTTCACTGAGCAATCTCATGGAGAGGGATCTAATGGAGTTCAGGGGCACTACTTATATGCACAAGAGTGTGAATAGATATGTGATGTTCTTATTTTTGATTTACAATTAGCATCAGCGTTAAGCTAAAGTGAAATAGGTGATGTTCTTATTTTTGATTTACAATTAGCATCAGGGTTAAACTAAATTGAAATAAGACACTCATACCCAAATGAGAGCGTTTACACAAGGCTTTTAATCAATGGAACTAAACTGGTTTAACTAAGGCATTGCAAATGTGTGTGTGGATCTGGCCTCTATTGAAGCAGTACAAAATACAGGGTGGACACTTTTGAACTAAATGCAAGCTAAACAAAAAACGAGCCAGTTTCAAACTAATACAAGTTTACACACAGGAGTCTGCACCAGTTTAAATAAGTCATTTGTTCAACCTATTTTAGTTGACTAGAAGCAAGTTTTGTGTACCACTGAAAAAATGGGCAAAGCAGGGCCAAAATTCCTAAATTTTCCCCATAGAAATTACATCATACTTTTGTTTGCTCTGAAGGTTTCTTTAAGTAGGTCTCAAAGCCTTCTAACAGTTGAGGGTTAAATACATTTTAGTTAATTTACCTGGGAGGACATTCCATGGCACGGATAGAGGATTGCTTTGTCATCATCTTCTGCTCCTTGGTCTAAGCAGTAGCCGCTAGCTTTGCTGTTACGAACCTACGATCAAAGTAGAGACCCATCGCTTTAGTCACCCCTTCACAGAAAGCAAACCTGCTTGTTTGAAGCTTTGTCACATTACAATTACCAAAGCAAATACTGCGCCAAGACATTGAACACTGCTTCAAGAGAGAAAAACATTCTCATTCGCCAACTCTGACACTCCATTACTCCTTCCTTTGGACACCTCTTAAAGCCTTTGACAGTGAATTCCCCATGTGAAAAGCCACAGCTGTATTATTTGAATGTTCTGTAATCTTACAGGATTATTAACTTGGGTCATTTTTTATTTTTGCAAAATAATTGCGCAAAAAAGCAGAACCAACTCAAATTCACTTTGAAAACCATAGGTCAAATTTTGCCCCGAATAGGATGCTTCTAAAATAGATGCTTCACTGTGCATTAGATTAGTCTAATGTGCAGTAAAGCATCACTCTCTATGCGTATGCAGCAATTACTGTGAAGCAGATTAGTCTAATGCGCAGTTTTCTAGTACATGTACTAGAAATCAGTGCATTAAACTAATGTGCTGATGTGCACAGGTCCTCGTGGCTGGGAGGCAGCTGCCCAGCAGCCAGGACAGCTCTCTCAGCCATGTGGAGATCAGGACAGGTCCCTGACAGTACTATCTTATGGCAGAGTTAATTAGTATACTGTGCCCTAATACCAGCGCCAGACACTGACACTTTACAGTAGAGCTAATTAGTCCACTCTGCACATGTAGATGCAGTCAGGGAGTTTTCTGGTGTGTTATTTTTCAGTGTAGCATGCATAGAAAGCAGAAGTCTATATATAAAGGAGCTCATTTGAGTTGAGAACCTATCAAGTGTATCACAGATACCATGTTTTGTGTTTGGTGTATTGTCCTTTTGAAAAACAACGATATTAAATAAGATTACGGGTATCAGAAAAAGGATAGCTCAGGTACATGACATGCCAGAAGCTGAGATGCTTCTCCAGAACATTTGAATTTTTAAATCTCCCAAATTGTGTTGGAAGTCTTGAGAGACTTCAGGTGTTTTTTTCATCCTAATCAGGTTAGAAATACCACGCAAGTAGGCTTTCTTATCACGTCTTGGAACCGAGAGCACAGAATACAGGGGGACAAAACTTGCATTCTTTAACTGAACATTTTGAAACCATTGGATTTGCTTTTGAGGATGTGCAAATTTTTATGCACCCCATGTAATATATGTGACTTCGTAATTACTCAAGAGGCATAATGAAACATCATACACAAACTATCAGCAATCCTAAAAATAATCCTCCACTCTACTTACTGTGTAAGCACAACAGGCAGTTTGATAGGGAATTAAGGTACACCAACAGTTAAGCTTCAATATGGTTATTTTATGACTAAGGTACTATAAAGGCTAAAGAAGATGAAGACAGCTTTATGACAGAGCCTTAACATTTGTGAATTGAGTCAGTATGAAATATATTTTTACCACTGTTTCCATCTGTTTTATGTCTACTCAATACATTTATTTTCCTTAAACTCACTAAAATCCAGAGACTATAGTAACCACATTTTCTTCTAGGAAATAATCAGAAGGGAAGATATTTAATAACAGGCCTTGTCATTTAAGAGAATACATCTACTTAGCTACAGTGTATTTCAATTTAAGGCATGAGACTCCACTGGAGATATGCCAGTTTTTACCAGTTAAATGTTTGGCCATGGCTCTTTATCACTATACATTTGAATACATAAAAGGCTTACATCCTCAAGCTTCCCTTATATCAGACCACCCAATGGGAACAGACTCCTTCATCATGGCAGAACGCCTGGCGTAATTGACATGACTTTGGCAATAGTGCCAATGTGCGTCTCAGTTTATAACCATCTAAGATCTGCCAGTTACTAATAGCTTATGTTGAATTTACTAAATGTCTTTCCCCAGTTATTGCCAGGGATAGATATATTAAGATGCAAAGTGATATTACCTAATAAAACCTGCACTTTGCATCAATATCTAAAGTGACTCACCTATTTTTATATGAATTCAATCAAACAGAACAGGAAGGAAGGAAGCCATTTACCTCTTGCATGAAACCTCACTGCCTAGGGATTGAAAGGTAACTTAAGCAGGCAATTAAAAAAAAAATCTTTATTAACAATTATGCAACAGGGGAGTTTTTACTCCCCCCATTTTGCAGGCAGAAGTCACACTAGTCCTTACTGCATGGAAAAGTATGCTATAACCTGTTTGTATGTTTACTAGAAAGAAAAGCCTTATGGATGAGTTTAACTTGAAGATACACTTTCAGGCTGGGGACAGAAATTACACATAGAGCAGTATACGTGATTGGAAACCAGTTCAAATCTGTAACACAACAGAAGTTCACTGCACATAAGCTGCTTTCAGAATGGACAAAACCAGTTTAAGATAAACCTGGATGGATGTAGTATCAGACTTAACTGATTTAGGTTATATCAGGTTATTGAACTTCTGTCCCAGATCCCTTCCAGGTTCAAGTTAATTCACAGTCCCCCAGCATCCCAGGATGCTTTGCACCCCCCCGCACCTACCCACCTGCCCTTGCAACTGGGGGGCGGGGCTAGCCTTGGCCCAATCTGTCAGCAGGGATGTGCTCTAGCTCCCCCCTCGGCTTCTGGACTGGGCCACTGCAGGCATGTGGCTGCATGCCTGGAATCAAAAGTGAATGTCTGTTTACTTGCTTATTGGTTCAATCTGTGCCATTTAGACTAACCTACAAAGATTGAACTGATTCAGCCTTGGACTTTATGACTGTCTGTACTTAGCCTCAAGCTTTAGGGAGGGCTATTTCAGTTTTTTAGGAGGGCTATTTCAGTGACTATTATAAGCGAAAGGACTAAGCCACAAAATTTCAGTATAAATCTAAACCTCTTCCAAGTTCTATTATATCTGGGCGCAGCCATTTACCTATAGAAAATTCAGTTAGATTGTGTAAGATATTATTCAGCCTTGGAAGAGAGGTGAGAGTAAAAGAAAAGAGCCTAAATGGAACTAACAGTGATGATTTCTACTTTGAGCTTCTTGTCTTGAATGCAAAAGGAATCAAAAGCTCTTCCATCTTTCCACTCTTCTGTGAAATATGAAATATTGTAACCTGAAGGAAATAGGCTTCTACATCTTGCTTGCCACCAGACAACTTTGAGGTAAAAAGACTTTTTCAACCTTTCTCTGTGCCTAACCTGGACAAAATCAAATATTTCAAACAGGAGATTTTACCACACCTTCAGCTCTCCTGTGAAATATGAATTTTCATTTCTACCTAGGAGAACTTTTACAATCTCTGCTCTCTTCTATGCCTGATGAAGGGCAAGTGTGCCCAAAAGCTTGCAAATAAATAAAATAATTTGTTTGCAAATATCTAGTTAGTCTAATAAAAGAGATCGCTTCTTCCATGCGTTTTGATTTGTTTTGCCTCTAGAACAATATGGCTACAATCTGGATACTTGTCTTGAATGCAAAGTTCTCCCACTTGTAGTCTACATTCATCTTCTCACAGTGATATTTGATTTTTTTCCTAGTTACCAGAAAGTGATCCAGCTCCATCAAAAGATCTTAGAGGAAACCAAAGAGGAGCAAAGCCAGTAGGCTCATGTGCTCTTCCTACTTTTGGTTAACTACCATGGCTGTCTCAACTGCAAACTTTGTGATGCTGACATTTGTGCTGTCCCATTTTGGACAAATTACCCTTGTATTTACATTCTTAGGGCTGTTGTTAGCTAAAACCCAAGAAACTGCATTTCATTATTCATAAGAGTGATTTAATCTCATTTACTCCAGGAAGAGAGGGAACACTTCACAGAGCCTACACTTTCTAGACTTGATTAAAAAAGTATAGGAAAGTGTTTGTGTTCCTGCTATCGTGTCAATTTTAAATGTCACTGTGTTGTCTGATGCCCATTCACTAAGATGAAAGGAATGCTCTAATACAGTTACGATATATTTTCAAAGACATGCAGTACCTCTCCATAAGTGATTGTATTATTGTAAATCCTCATTTCAGGATAAACATTCTCCAAGTACCACTTAAAACTCCGGCATTGCAGTCGCTGCCGTAGAGCTATTCTTTCTGAAACATCTCCAAAGTCAACTCCTGGGTTCTGCAAAGCAGAAATATAACAGAGAAATCCCATTACAATGACTACACTGTTGTCTTCTTTACATAAAACTAAATTGGAGTTCATACTGTTTACAAGTTACATTCCCCCCATTCCCACTTCCCTTTGTAAGTAGCAACTCGTTGAACAGCCTTTGAGAGCCGACAATAAATATTAATGAAACTTCACTAGAAAAAGAAGAGAAACAATTAAAGACAAACAAATGTAAACCATAGCAAAAGAAAAATTAAAAAAGAACCCTAAAAAAATAAAATAGAGAAGACTAACAAATACAGCTCTGCTAAATTTTTACAATATAACTTTAACTCCCCTGTAAATTCTGGGCCTAATTCTGACATAAACTATAACCGCCTTCTAGTGGTATAATACCAGTAACTTCTATACAGCTCCACCAGCATAAATGAAATCAAGCCTTCAAAACTCAACACAGACCTGTTAAAAGGTTAATTAAAGCTCAATAAACTTTTGAATAGATCTTCATCCAATGTCCAATGACTCCGAGCTGGATTGTGGCCCTGTAGTATGTTTGATGCAACACAAGGTAAAAAAACCTCACTATCAGTGGTGGAATTTTGCTTTGAGATATTGCATACATTGGAACGTAGCATTCAGTGCAAAATACAGGTGGAATGAAGGCCTCACTTTGTTCCAAACCGAAAAGAGGACCAAATCCTTGGCCAGTGAAAAGCAGCAGAGCTCTACTGATGTAATGATGAGAAGCAAGACTTGAGTGCTGATTTACATCACCTGGATATCCGTCTTAACTTCTGCTTGCTTTGTGAACTGAAACTAGCAAGTTTTACATGGCTTGAATTGAAATACCATATACATTTTCTGCAGAAAGATCACTAAGTTCTTTACAGACAGTATCCAATACAGGATTACAAGGCAGCAGCAAGTCTTAGCTGCGGGTTTATTAGAATCCCTACCAGAGATACACTTTTTGGCAGAGAATACAAGTTTAGTAAAGAAAAGCCTTTTCTATTTATTATGCAAAGTTTCTGCTGTACTCACTGCCACTTGCTGGTACCTATTTTGCCTGGATTTTTCTATGTAACATTCATTCAAATGAAGGTTACCCTAAAAAAACAACATTGCATGAATTGTATGCAGCTAATACCATAAAATCACATAAAGCAAGATTCCTGGGTCACTGAAATCAGCAGGGAATAGATCACAGGAAGGGGTAAACCAAATCTTTTGTAGATGGAAAGAATATTTTCTTGTCTTGTTGAAGTGTTCAGGTTGATAGGAGCAGTTTTGCTGTCGTGTTGATGGACCATCTGTTAGTCAGGATGCATGACATTCTCCGGTGGCTTGACATACCAATCAAATATGGAAGGGGTAAGGTGAATTACAGTGTTACGTGGACTAAGTCTGATATGATAGGATTCAGCAATGCCACTACTTTGCTAGTAAGGAGTACTCACTACTTCGTAATTAGGCAGTCCTACTCTTACCTCCAGCTGAACATGAAGCCAGTGTAATGAGCAGCTATTACCATAGTTGTATTTGTCTGATGTAAGATGTAGTGTTATGTGCAGATTATAGAGTAAGTAATTGTGTTATATGCTATGTGATGGTGTTAAGGAAGCACACAATGTTTATTATGTGGGTGAACTGTGTAGCTCATGCTCTGAGACTAATCAGTGATTTTTCCAGTCCTCTATCAACCATATGTCTGTTAATAAGTGTACGGTACCTTTTATTCCTCATAGCCTGAATACCACAGTGCATTAGATCTGTGAAATAGTAGCATCCTCACTTCCTCTTGGCAAGAACTAATGGGGTTATTTTTATGATGTGCATTTTATCAATCAATTTATTTTATGGAAAGTAAATTTTAATGTACAATGCTTCTTGCTAGTTTTATGCTTCCTAATGTAGACATGCCTAGTTTTTCAAAGCACTGCTGTCTAGTTCAGTGCAGAGAACTGCATCCAAAGCTAATCTTAGAGAGATTAAAGAGAATCATGTTTAGGTATAAATGTTTATTTAAATGCCTTTTTTATTTTCATTTGTGGAAACCGTCAAGCAAATAAATTTACCAGAGTTATTTTTTCCTCTTTCTATCAGAAAACTAAGAGGCCACTCAAAGGAATGCAAACAGAGCCTGGATGGGTGGAAAAGAAAATATTTGTGTTATTGATGCAGATGTCTTTGTCTTTCCCATCACCTTGTTTGACACAAGTTAATACAGAGGAAGCGAAAAGACTTCTAGACAAGTGCCTCATGCAAAAAGATGCAGCACTCTAATTCAGCTGAGAAGTATCTTCCATAGCAAATTAGTTCACATGTGAAACACTAACAGCTGAAACAGTGGCCCACTGGACGTACTCTTCAGGGTTCAACATGCGGAAATGTGCAGCAAAATGGATGGAGCATGGCTCCTCTAAATTTATGCAGCCTGGACAGTACATTCAGATGGTGTGATCTGAAGGGGGACCTGGATTCTTTGCATCTATGCCTAGATTCTGAGATTTAATCTAACACCCAAAATACTGCTTTGTGTAGGTATATCATTAATATAGGTATTTAGGGACTAATCCAAATCCATTGAAGTCAATGGAGAGATGCTCATTAACTTTAGTGGGTCCTAGGGCATAACATTGAACATTCACAGGTGTGCATCTGACTTTTTTCTCATTCAGGCCCTGATCCAAAGCATATATATATAGAATTCAACAGGAGTCTTTCCATTTACTTCAGTGAGCTTGGATGAAGCATTTACTAGGCACCTCCCATTATTAAATGATTGTACTGCGTTTTAACTTGTCTGTTTTTTTCCATGTACACTACTTGGACAAATAGCCACTAAAGGACAAAGCAGACAAAAAAAGCAAATCAGCTTCCCCATGACATTATCGTGCAAGACCAAATGTCTCATCTTTTACAGTTTTTCTCAAGTGATGCATCATCAGAGACAAACAGGAAGTTAATTTATTATTTTTATTTAGTAATATTTTCCCTAACATTTCCCAGAGGAAGCAACCATGATGAGCACTTCTCAGTAATATATGATGCAAAGTAGGAGAGAGCAACATGTCTATAATATAGTCACCAATATCCAAATTAAGATAAAGTCTGGGCCTCATTCCCCTGTCTGATACACAGTTTTACACCAATAAATTCCACTGACAAGCACAATGCAGCAAAATCTTTATACAGTCTGGCAGGACTGTAACATTTGAGCACCTTGAAGAATAATGTCCTCCTAATTAACAACTTATTCCCAGGAAGTACATCTGTAAGGCAAGGCCATCTGAGTCACCACTCATCAACGCTCAATTTAACTTATTCTGGGGGGGTAAATTAAAATGGTAGTTTTTGTTCTGAATGTTTGCTGCCTTGAAAGCCCTCATACATCAAGTGTGAATGGTGCTAACTCAAAGCAGACACTTACGCTTCTCTGCCTCCGTTTAGGATATATGATGTGGTCTTCACTTACCGTCATTGGGATGTTCCATGCCATGTAAACGTGTGACTTGAAGTCATCCATCCAGACCTCAGCAGCTCGCAAGGCATTGCGCTTTGCATAGTAGTCAATGTCATTGTTGTAAGGTTTCTTTGTGCGTTCAATGTGAGCCACTCTAGAGCAAGGTAAGACTTCCATGCTTCCTCCGCACTGCCAGACCTGTGAGAGTTTGAGAATGAAACCATGAAACAAGGAGAAATTTCTCCGAAAAAGCAGGCTGACATGGTTGTTGATTGTAAGATACTGTCTCCATTGACACATCAACATCTGCTAGCTTGAGATAACAATGCTACTCTTTCAGTTCTTAGGCAGAACAACTTCTGAAGGAGAAAATTGGAGACCTGAATGTCAGGGACCAAATTCGACTAATATAAACTGCCGCAACTCCAGTGAAGTCAGTCCTTCAGCTGAGGGTCTAGGTGGGGTCACCATATTCCATATCGTATATACTGGGGATCAATTTTGGGAGGAAATTTGCAAATAAACTAAGGCAGGCAAGGTTCTCTGGGTAAATCCAATATCTTTAATTAGACCAACTAAAAGAGTTGGAAAAATTCTTCTTTCATCTGTCAGAACAACTGCAGACTTCCTCAGCTAGAAGAAGGGTATCTGTACCCAAAAGCTAGCAAAGAAGAATTTTTCCAACTATTTTAGTTGGTCTAAGAAAAGATACCAGATTTATGCAAAGAATCTTGTCTGCCTATGTCCTTAGAACAACACAGCTACAACCTACACCCCACAAATAAACGAATGCACTTGCGTTAGCTCCAGTTTGACCATTTCTAAAAGAAGGTGGATTATGTACATGTAAGTGTGCATGAGCGTACCAGCTGAGGAATTCAACACAAGGGCCTTTATGCAGAAGATAGAAGTGCACCTTTTGGTTAGACAGGGAGGAGAATGACAGGAATTATCTACATGAGAGATATGAACAGAAAGCCATTGGAAAGTCATTTTCCCACTATACATATGCATGCTCTAATTTTTAAAAAATCAGGTGATTTTCCCATGTTTTAAAAAATCGCCCCCCACAACTTCTTCAGTTTTCAGTTGAACTATTCTCTCTTTATAAGCAAGTGCTGCCTTTAGCCTTATTTGATCACTGATTTACCTGGTTGGAACAGAACTGCCACTGGAAGTTGCCTGGGAATAAGATTCTAGTCTCAGCACTGACTGAATTAACACAGGGTGGTAGACATTTGCACCCAGCCACTCACACATCACTATAAGCTTCCCCTGGAGTGACTCTTATTCCTTGAAGTTCACCGCAGGTACAAATTACTTATATTTATCTCTCAAATTCATTCCTCAGCTGTTTCAGGGTAAGCTCATTGGCCAAGCTTCCTCCTTGTTCTATCCTCATGCCTGCACGAGGGAGTAATGAGTGAGGATAAACTTTTTTTTACACCCCTACACATGCTAGGCAGAACTGAGGTCTGGTTATTTAAGAGTAGATGCTACATGCCCACTTAGCTCCTGCAGGAAACAAGCGGGCACAAAGCAGTGGGACCTATGCACAGCACTAATTTCACCCAACTACATAGTGGGTGCATCTACATGTACAATTAATTTGAAGCAATAAACCCTGGAGCACCTTGAGTTGGATGAAACTAGTTCTGGGCACAGCATCTATACATGGGCCTGGGAAAGTAGCAATTTGAGCTGGGGCAAAGCAGTTTACACCAAGGCCGCTCCTGCTCTGGGCTCTTGGTAAGGGTGGTAGGCTGTGGAGGGGCTGGCTGGGGCACAAGGGTGCTGGAAATGCAGAGCCACGTGGCTAGGCAGCAGGCAGGCAGGAGTCTGGCACCCTTCTGCCTGGGCACAATTTATGCCCACAGTCAGCATCTACATGCACATTTAATTACAGTTAATTACTTCCCTGCAAGATAGTTCTGCACCAACAGTGTTAATCAGTTTACTGAGGCCTAATACCGTTGCACGTGTAGACAGTGATGCTTTACTCTGCAGCTGATTAGCCTACCCCACAGTAAGGCGCACATGTAGACACAGCCAGCGAATAATAATTCACTGCTGGTGAGGCCCATCAATACATTTTTCTGTTGTCTTTCTCCCACCCAATCCAGATAGTGGAAACAAAGAAGGAACAATTTTCTAAAGATGGCTCTGAGCCTCAGAGGGGTGGTACAGTCTCCACCTCTTTAGGGAACCTCTATAAAAAAAATAATGGTCTTACTGAAGTAAATAAAATACAATCAATAGTCCATAGCTTTCCAAGGCCACATATTGCTGAGGATAACAACTCATTTTCCAAGTAAGTTAGACTCCATGATAGGACAAGGGAAGTTGCACCTACACAGAGCCTGCCTTCTTGGAGACCAAGATAAATTGCTTGGAGAAAAGCAGATAAAATCTTATCCCTCTACTCTGCTTTTTGAATACTTATCAAGATAATATTTATTTATTTGTTGCCCTCCAAGCAGTTGTGCAGTAAATCACTGGTCACAGGAATTTGCATTTGATAAATGAAATGCACAGGAAAACACACTGCTCATAAATTTGGACCGACATATGCCTAGAGTTTCCACTGCAAAAAGGAAGTGCAAAAAGGAGTCAATTAATTTTCATGATCTGAATAGAAAATGCACAGTACACTTCACTATATTGCTATTTGCCTGATCCAGCCATATAATGTATGGTACATTTTTCTTTCCTTTGATATGGTTAATGACCTTGTAATTTTTATTTATATATTTTGATACCAAGGGCAAATACATTATCTGAGTGACAGATTTATTTTCCTCCAACACTGATGCTTATGCAAAATGGAGAAGCAAAGAGGTACTAAACCGCAGCATTAAAGCAAAGAGTTTAGCTCATCTATAAATTCAACACGAATAGTTATTTACCAGGGATAAATTCTCCCCAGATGAAATCCACGGGGAAACTGGACACCTGGTTTTGAAGGAAACAAAACCGAAAAATTCCGCCTCAGGGTACAGAATGCTCACCCTGTCGAACATGCTCTTTGTTGCTTAGCAGTCAGTGCAAATTTGCACAGCAGTATGATTAGCCCACCTGCAGACACTCAAGATTTCTTTACATTTCATTTCCACCTACCCACTTCTACCATCAGTTTTCCAGGAAGAAGATATCTGCTTGAAATGAAACACAAATAGAACTGGTCAGGACTTTTTCAATGGCACTTTTTTTTTTTGATTGAAAAAACACTGATTCACTGAAACCCACAGTTTTCATGGCTATGAAGGAATAATCTTGGGGCAAGATTTCTTAGGGCTAGTGTGCAATTGCTGGACACAACCCATGAAAGCTAGAAAGATGACCAGACAGTGAAGGTGCCAATAGTCTATTGGGTAGAAGACCCATGTTCAAGTACCTGCCCTAATAGTTTCATAGTTGGTAGGGTCGGAAGGGACCTGAGCAGATCATCAAGTCCGACCCCCTGCCATGGGCAGGAAAGGATGCTGGGGTCAAATGACCCCGGCTAGGTGACTGTCAAGCCTCCTATGGAAGACCCCCAGGGTAGAAGCAAACACCACTTCCCTTGGAAATTGGTTCCAGCTCCCAGCCACCCTGACTGTGAAGTAGTGCCTCCTGATGTCTAGCCTGAATCTACTCCCAGTCAACTTACGGCCGTTATTCCTTGTGACTCCCGGTAGTGCTTGGGGGAACAGGGCCTCTCCCATTTCCTGCTGGTCCCCCTTGGCCAGTTTATAGACGGCCACCAGATCCCCTCTCAGACTTCTCTTGTGGAGGCTGAACAGGTTCAGGTCCCTTAGCCTCTCCTCGTAGGGCCTGCCCTGCTGCCCCCCGATCATGTGAGTGGCCCTCCTCTGGACCCTCTCGATGCTGTCCACATCCCCCCTGAAGTGCGGCACCCAGAACTGGACGCAGTACTCCAACTGCGGCCTGACCAGTGCCGCATAGAGGGGGAAGATCACCTCCTTGGACCTGCTCGAGATGCATCTGTGGATGCATGACAAAGTGTGGTTAGCCTTCCTGACCGCGTCCCCACACTGTCGGCCCATGTTCATCTTGGAATCAATAGTGACTCCAAGATCCTTTTCTGCCTCTGTGCTGAATTAGAAGGGAGTTCCCCAGCCTGTAGGTATGCTGCTGGTTCTTCCTCCCCAGGTGCAGCACCTTGCACTTGTCAGTATTGAAACCCATCCTGTTCTCATCCGCCCACCCCTGTAACCGGTCCAGATCTAGTTGTAGCCTGTCCCTCTCCCCCAGCATGCCCACTTCTCCCCACATCTTAGTGTCATCCGCGAATTTGAACAAGGTGCTTTTTACCTTTGTCCAAGTCACTGATGAAGATGTTGAACAGTGCAGGCCCGAGGACCGAGCCCTGGGGGACCCCACTGCCCATATCCCTCCAGGTCGAAAATGACCCATCCACCACCACTCTCTGGGTGCGGCCCTCCCACATCACAACAAGGGAATATTCTCCCACATCACAACCAAGTACCTTACTACCAGACTACTGTGCATTCCTTGGTGGGTTTCTTCTGTTGGAGCTGTTGCAATTTACACAAATAAATTACTTTTCATCATTGTGTGTGTCAAGTGAATATTCACTGAATATCCTAACCACTGAATCAGGCTCTCATTAGTGCTATCTGGTCTGATGGACAAGACAACTGAATAAGTATGTAAAGAAAGGAAGTAAGGAGGTAAGGAAAAACAGGAAGAACCTAAGCCATGTGGGACTAGGTTTATTAAGGCATCGAGGGATCATATAAACAACCCCAATTCACTGATTTAAATGGGAGTTGGGTGCCTGAACATATTTAAAAATCTGTCCCTCTGCCAGCTGCTGCTTTTTAATATAATGCCTCTGGCTGCTCCCTGTGTGAGAAACAGCATTATAGAAACAGTGTCTAATCTTTTCACCAGACTCTTTGGAGGAGACAAAGAGGGATGAGAGAGAACATAGTCTCCTCTCCTGTAGTTTAAAATGAGGCTCCACCCCTCACCCCCAATCTGCAAGTGTCAGGAGAGATGCCAGAGGGTCATGGTCAAAGAGTCAGGAGACCTGTCCATCACAGAGACAGCAGGACCCTCTGCCTCCTCTGGATGGCAGCAAGTCTCCAACGTTGCACATTTGCCTGGTAGAGTGTTTGAAAATAAATGAGTGTATTATATTTCAAGGCTAGCTCACCAGGAAAGTGGAAATG